GTTATGTCCTCAGAGGAAGGAATCTGTTCCTTAGAATGGTACCATTGTTAGATGGTACTCCGTTCACCCGTATGAATTTAATAGTGGCCAACTCCCTATTACTTTTTGCCGGTGACTGTACAAAACAGAAAGAAGAAACAGCACCAGACACGAAATTCCAAGCAAACGCAGCCAGGCATCACTCGGCAGTGGGGCTCATTTGCTGTGTAGAGGCCACGCTACCGATGTGCGAGTGACTGAGTTTGGAATGGGGCCTGGGCTTCACCAGACACCTTCCCAGCTCCCCAGCCATAAGGCCCTCTCTACTTCTCTCCTCATCTTCAACACTGACGCAAAGTACTGCCCTTCAGATGCACTGTGGTGTGGACAAGGGTTTCTTTCTAGAGAGAAAGATGCTATTTAGGAAACCCACAGGGGACAGGTTCGCGCTAAACCCTTTAAGGAGGCAGCGGTATCATTAGCCCTTTCTAAAGATGATTAACTGGGGACCAAAATCATCCCCAAAATGAAGCTAGGATGTGAACCCAGGTGTCGCCCCCACCTTGCACCCCATCCACAGAGGTCCCAATACCAAGCCATAATTTCAACGAGTGGACAGACACTTGTGCCAAATGGCAAAAAGACAGTTTACCAGACAAGGAATAAGAAGTTGATGTCATGAGGGGAAGGACTGCTTCACAGACTCTACCAGAATTGCTTCCTTTGTTGGTTCACTGAGCAGATTTAAGGATGTCACCTCCAATTAAGGAGATAATGAAGAGGCTGGCACTTGAATGAGGGGTCTACAGAGAGCTGGTAAGAGCAGAGACTAGAGATAATGAGCTGGAAGACATGCAGAGAAAAGAGACTCTAGGAAGAGCCCCTGGGTATGTCACGGATGCCACAGGGAAAGCTGCTCTCAGGCGGTACCAATGACCTAGCTGGGCTGGCCATCGGGGGCAGAGAGGTACCTGGAGTGACCAATGTTGCATGCTATGCAGTGAGGCACTATGGCTCCTGTGAGAACCCCATCTTACTTTTCTTTCCGTAAAGTTCCTGCAAAAAGAATCCCAAACTGCCCCCATCCTTGAAGTCCTGAGAAGCTGAGTGACAAGAAGAAATCAAAGAAGTCTTCTCTGGCGCATTGTTTTTTATAAGAAATAAAGAAACTCCAGAAGAATGGCAGTGACGCACACCAGGATCCCTGAGGGCACCAGCCAGAGCGCAGAGAACTGGTCAGGGTCAGTTTTTCATCCACGCACAAACTCGCCTCCTGCCTCCTCAAAGGACTTCTAAGGACACGGGACCCAGAGCATATCTTCACGGTCGCAGTTCACACAAGAAACATCACTTAGGGCCCACCCAACCCAGGACAGGTGGAAGGACAGCAAAACAGTCAGCTGCAGGCTGGCAACTGGCTGATAATGATCTCCCTATGCGGGGGGGGGGGGAAAGCTGGCACATGGAACCAGTTCTCTTTCTCTGACACCCAGCAAGACCCTGTGGTGGGCTCCCCAGGTACGAAGTCTCTTTCTGCTCCTGCCTGAGCCAAGAGGCGTGGGCAGGAGGGACTCTTGACCCTGCCCTCTCTTGACACCATGGGAGAGCTTGCAGATTAGCTGAAACACCCCTTAGGCATGGGTGGCTGTCCTCGGACTTGCCATAGAAAATCCCACAATGAGTTTTGCATAAAGGCCCTATTCAGAGTTCAGCAGAGTTGGGAGCCGGAGCCCCCAGGGCACTCTAAGCCACCCCTTACATCTCACAGCCACCTCATTTTACTGGGCAGATTTGGGAGGCGTCAAAGGGAGCATCTTTTGTGTTTCAGTAAAGGTGGAAGGGAAAGAAAATTCTAAACTTTCCCCACCCCATGCCCTCAAGCAAGTCTGAAGAGACTCAGCAGAGAGCCTTGAGGACCTCATCTTGTCAGTGTGGTGGACACAAGTAAGCAGGCTCATGATGGGGCCCTATGGGAGTTCAGCACAGAGAATGTAACTGATCTGTGGCTGTTTGCAGGACCTATGTGGGGCCAAGTAGCTACAGGCCTTCTTGGTGACCTGGTCCCCTGGGGGTGGGGGGCTCAGGAAAGGGGAGAGTGCATCCACCAGGAGTGTCACTGGAGAAACGGTGGTGCAGCAAATGGCACAGACTTTCTTCGTGGTCATCACCAGTGACCTGAGGGATGTTACTGTGCACTGGCAGTGCCTGCCATCATCCCTAATCTCCTTAGAAAAGCTGTGTCATTGAAGGACAGACCAGTGATGCCCCAGTCATTAAAACATCTTTCCATAACTGCCAGACCCACCTCAGCATCAAAAGCAGGCTTTCCACATTAACAGCCCAGTAAAGTGCGAACACCTTATAAAGTTTGCACTTTAAACACTTCCCAGTGATTGGGGGCCCTTTATCTTGTTTGAAAACCAACTTTCACACAGAACACAGAACAAAATAAGAGGCACTCCAGTAAGGATCAAAAGATCCCTGAAAGCCAGCTTCTGAAGAGAAGAACTCAAGGAAGGGAAAAGAAAGAGATGGTAAAAGGCTATTTTACAGAAGGCTGTCTCTGAACCAGTCTGCGCAGGCCTGTTTCAAACACACCCCAACCTATAAAAATCTGGGCCTGGTGGCACATGAAACCCTATCTCACTGTGAGAAGCCTGCAGACAGGGCAGTGGCTGAGACCAGGGTGTGAGGCCCATCATGAGCACCCAGCCACTAAGCACTTGACCACTGGCTCTCTGTGCAAGGGACCAGAAGAAGCAGCAGGTTTGCTTTGGAATTGCACAGGGTCGCAGGTGAAGAGCTAAACATAGAGCAGGAGGAAGTCTGCAGCTGCAGCAGTGCCAAGCACAGGGCAGCTCTGGCCCCAGCTTGGAGCTCACAGCCCTTCCCCAGCACGTGTGCAACCATATATGGACACGACCTCAGGGGTCACTGCCCAGGTCTTTGCTGCAGGCTCCAGACACAATTGCGAGCCCAGCTCTGTGGCTCGTTCTCAGATCCTCAGTCATGTCCCGAATCAGAAATGAACCAAAGCCCTGCCACTGCCAGCCACATGTAGGCACCCACCATGATTCACTCAGGGGACAGCCATGCAAGATTCTTCTGTGGTAGAAATGACCATGTCATTTCCAATGCCCTCAAAAGTCCTCAGAAGCAGATCAGAAAAGTGGAGGAAGTCAGTCACCAGCAGAGGAGTCTTCAAAACCATCAACGGTGACAGATGAGAATTCCAAGGTCTATCCTGAGAACGAATGGAATCTGGCAACCAAAGCCCTTCCCTTCTGGGGCGGACCCCATGGACACTGAAGAGAACCCAGGGGAGTCGCCCCAGAGCACAAGCTGGCTCCTCCTGCACACACATTTCTGGATGTGCGATGGAGTCTGAGTGAGATGCTAGCACTGAGCACACGTGCATAGATGCAAACAAATAACTTCTGCATTGTGATATTTTAAAAGATGAATCACAAGCTGTACAAAACTTAGCTGGCAAGAATAACAACCTGAGAATTTTTGGGCATAATGAGTCTAAGACTTTATTTTACACCTATCATTAGTGCCCCTGGTCCATTTATGGAAGTGACACAATCTTCGTGAGAAAGCCTTTTCCTCCATTGTCCCCTTCCAAAAGCAACGGACCCAAGAGACCAGCCTCGAGTGTCTGATACCCAGCTGCCCTTGGATGACCACAGCCATGAGGGTTACAGTCACAGTTCACAGCACAGACTGGAAGGGAGCTCAGAGGTCCTGGCTGTTAGTGGTGCAGGGATCCACAGTGGAAACAGTGATGCACTGAGGGAGGGGAAAAGGAGCCAGCACCTAGAACCAGTAGGTTCAGCCTGACTGGGACACAGGACAATTCACACTGGTGACCAGTCACAAAGCAAGTACCTGCCTGTGTAGCTTTATTGCTTACACTGTATCATAATCATTTCTCTGATTTATATGATCTCATGACGATTATTCATGATAGGTTATGTCTGGATTGTTGCAAATGTGGGAAGGGGAAATTAACCTAATAATTGCAGTTTACCTGGCAAGTGAGTTCTTTCACACCCACAGTCCATGTGGAAAAGGTAATAAAAAGGCTTCATGATGGTTACATATCATCAGGGACCTGAGTGGACAGAGTGAGTGACCTCCTGGCTCACTCCAAAAAGTACTTAGAGTCTAAAATTACAAGTGAACATTGAGAAGACAGAAGGCAGAGCAGTTTCCTCACTAAGGGGCAGAGGAGGGGCCACCTCAGTGCTCAGGTGCTGCCAGCTTGTCTCTGGGGGTGGGAAAAGGGGTGGCAGATAGAACTAAACCCAGAAAAATACAGCCCTGGAAAGTAAGATGCCCCCTCAGGAAGGGGCAAAGGGTCAGCTGGTCAGAACAGAACAAGACACAGCAGCAAGAGACGTGGGATGGGACCCGTTTCTCTGTAGGTCTGACATAGGGTGGTCTTGTGACCGGGGGTAACTGAGGATATTTATTCAGAGTCTGAGGGCTCCACAACATGACCTCTGAAAAACGCGTCCTTCAAGCCTGAAAATACAAACAACAGCAATGTGTCTTACAGAGGATTAAAGAATTCTGAAATAACAACACTAGAGAGGGGATTGTTTGCATCCTCACTTGTAATCCCATTTGCAGAACTACAAAGAAACTAAGTTTGTCTCTCTCACTAATCCACGTATCCTCTGCACCAGGATTTGACTTGTTCGGTACATGAAGCAATGCAGCAGGAGCAGACTGCAGAAGACTGGAGGGGAACCACAGAATTGTGCACTGTAAGCAGCCTGAGAACTTACTCAGAGCGACCACACCAGGGAGACATAGAGGGGGAAAAATCTAAATTAAGTCTGCCATTTGTGATGTTCACTAACTGGCACACAGAGACAGAGAGATAGACTGAGACAGACAGAAGGAGACAGAGAGGACAGCACATTTCCACACTGGCAGAATTGGGTTTCTGCTGGGCACACGCAGTGAAGGCCACCACAGGCTCCGAGGACCTGGTCCCTGGGCTCACCGACCTTTCCCGTAGAAGAACTTGCGGTAGTAGTAGGCCCCAAGGTCGATGTGCTCGATGATGTACCGCTTGACCTTCTCCCGGTGAATGGGCTGGTTCTCCCGAGGCACCTCCAGCACGGAGACCCCCGCGTTGGTGCAGTGTGAGCTGAGGGAGGACTCGAAGGAGCAGCTCTCGCCTGCGCTGAAGGAGGCCGAGTTGGCCCTGGAGAGGGCAATGCGCCGGTCACCCTCCCCGCCAGTCTCATTCCGGAAGTAAGGGCAGCTGAGGACCAGGTCGTTGCTCTTCCCATCACCCTCGTCGGCATCCAGGTTCTCCTTGGAGTTGAGGTCCTCCTTGCTGCCCAGGGGGGACTCACAGCCGCCAGCAGGGCCCGTGGCCACGGGGGTCTGAGAGGCGGCGGAAGCTCCGGTAGTGATGTTCTTCCTTTTCCCCACACTTGCCCTGGTGGCCATGGCCTCGTTGACATTAAACAGGATGCTCTGGACATCGTAATGGGCAAAGCACCGCTGACAACTCCAAGGGCGAACGCCCCGGTCCAGACGGCCTTCCTCGAGGTCAGACGTGAACTTGAAGGTCTCGTGCTCACTTTTCACGGTCCGCAGCTTTCGGAAGAGCGATGTTTCCACAGACTCAGATTTCAACCTGCGCTTGAAAGGTTTGTCCCTGTCCCTCCCCACCAGGAAGGCGCCATCCATGTAGTCCAATCCTGAGATGCGGACAAACTCTCCCCTAGAAATCTGTGTTGCGGCATGAAGGCTGGGAGAGATTGCGGGGTCGCAGGGGAAGAAATCGGGGAACCCAAAGGGACCCATGCCTTTGGGGTCATAATTCTCTACCCGGTACCCACGGAGCATAGCAAAAAAGTTCTCTCCAGCCAAGCCCTGCCTGTCGATGGATGATGTGCTCCCATACTCCCTGTGCAGGGCGGCCCCTGTGTTGGGGTTCACTGCACGTTGGTCGAGGACGTCCTCGGTGTCGATGTCACTGATGGTGACATCACTGTTGCTTCTCTGTCGTATGGGGTGGAGCCCTCTCTGGGAAGTATGAACAAAGAGGTCTCCGATGGTGTACTTGGCCTCTACGAAGTCCAGATCCAGGTGCTCCTCTTGCTGACTGCTGCCCTGGTCATTCTGCCCATTCTGCAGGATGGCAGTGACACTCTCGTAGCTGGACTGCGAGCGGCTTTCCCACAGTGTCCTGCAGGGCAGTTCCTTGGAGCTGTCTTTTTTAGGAGGCCATTCTGACACCCTGGCCCTCACGCCCATTTTAGGCACAGCGGGGGTACCGTTGGCTGGACCACTGCCACTCTCACTGGGACCAGGGGCATTTAAAGAAGTAGGAGGTCCCATGTTGCCGTTAATGGCTTTGAATTTTCGAGCAAAATAATCATCCGACTGCATGATTCTGGGAGAGTCCTTGAACTTGGAGAAGGCTTGGCCAAGCTTGTGCTTTTCTGTTTGCAACTGCCGAGGGTCACTCATGTCCACAGAGACAGGAAGCTCTGAGGCTCACCGGGAAGACTGGTGCAAGGCCAACTCCATTGTCACCAAAACAAAGACGACACAGAGCCTTGGGCTATAGTGCGCTTTTTCCCTCTCCTTCATCAGACACAAATGACATCCTCAGATGACGGTTTCTGCAAGCAAACTTGCTTTTTTCAGTTGTCCCAGTAACCTTGTTGTCTGTTCTTTTCAACAGCATTCCTTAAGCCACCTGGCCATGAGTATTTCCTTCACCTGAATGAGAAGACAGGAAACGGCCATTAGCAACTGATGCGGTGCTAGGTCAGTGCTTTCTACAGTCTGGTCTGCTTCCACCCATGTCAATTCCCCCAAACTGTCACAAAGGCTCACGTCTCTATGGTACAATGCACAACAAGCACAGCCTCTTTTGAGCACTCGTCTTCCTTCCCTACAAGGCTGGCTAGAACTCACACACAGAACCAAGCAGTACACTCTTCCGGAGACTTTGCTAGGATGTCTCTCAACCGTACCCACATCTGTGCAGAGCACCCACATGTATATCTAATGCAGTGATCCCCTGTTCCCGTGCTGTGCACTCAGCAGTCTGCACCACAAGTGACTTTAAATTCTACCCAGGAAGCCAGGAGCCAGGCCTTCAGTTGTGTGCAATTGTAACTTCCCAGATTAAATGAGGCCACCACAAAACACGAGTAAATGAGGTATAACAGGGACAGCGCTGTCATATACAGAATGTGCTGAGTGCTTTCACACTTGCAGCAGAGGGCCAATGCCACGATCATTCACGATCAGACTGGATGTCACAGAGGTCCCCCTGGGGTGGGAAGGGTCCTGGAGGACTTGGTGCCTGGAAGATTGTAGTGTTCCAACTGACTGTGCCACAAGCAGCTTGTCAACCAAACAGGATTAAACAGAGGCACCAGAGACACAGAACATGGTAACAGACGCAGCTGCTGGTGGAGACATGACCAGCTCAACTCTTCTTTTCAGCTACGAATGTTCCTTTGTTTTTAACTCTAATCTTTAATTAGCCAAAAATATTTTGAGGCATTACATATTTTTCCCAGAATGAAAGAATGACCCTACCTCTTCTGAAAATAGCAATAGTGAGAAGGGAGAATAAAGCCACTCCTGTTGTTCTTTGCCCAAGTAGAAGACACAGTTGTAATTCAGCCATGCATGAGCTCTCTCCTGGGGGCTCCTAACCACTGCGTGTACATGTGGACGGCTCTTGGAAGAACAGATTTTTCTCCGCAATGGAGGGTGCTTTCTATCCACTATTAAAAAGCTATCAGTCTGGGCATGATGACATGCTGTTTATCCCAGAGCTGTTTCATAACTGAGGAAATACGGTATTTTAAGATGTGGCAAACATGGGGCAAAGGAGCAATCAGATCCAAGAATGGACCAGACATCCTGCCCCATGGTGCTCAGAGAGACAGATAAACGACTACACCTCACCTATTCCACTTGGAATCATTACGTTTAAAAGGATCAAGAGTGGCTGTGAATTACAGTCATTTCCTATGTAATTTATGCTATTATCAAATCTGTCCCTGGAAACTGAAGAAGTAACAACAGAGAAAACAATCCCTTCCCTATCTACTGAAACGTCTCCAACTCACTGAAGGAGGCGTCTACAGAATCTATTGCTCTGTTGGTAATTACTTCCGATGCTGGTACAGACATACAGGAATTCTCATTAATATGAATCTCAATTTCAGTTATATAGTATTTGCAGCTATTCTGTGTACAAAGCCCAGCCCAACCCAGCACCCACCTCAAACCTACTGAACTAGCTTATGAAAACAGAACAAAAACATAGTACTCACTGCTGTAAGAAGTTATACAGAGGACAAAATATAGCAAAGGAAGCCAGGAATTAATGGAATAGAAGTAGAATAAAACCAAAAAGCTAGACTTTAAAAACAGTGAGAATTGGCAATGTGTCACTTATCAATCTCACAAAAGCAAAAGAGCCAGACAAGGAATAATGAGAAAGAAACACATATATATCACACATTAAATATAAAATAAGTACAGAATTAGTAAAAGTAAGTCTACCACAGCCAACTGTATGAACAATAAATTTGAAAACTCAGAGGAAACTCCTAATTTCCCAGTAAAAATACAAATTCCCAAAAGTGATCCAGGAATGGAAAATTTGAATAGATGCATTGCCATCAAGGCAATAAAAGCAGCTGTTCCCACATCAAGTCATACGACAAACAAACACAGAAGGCAAAGAATCACCTCAATGATTACCCTGAATTCTTTGTCCTGTTGTTTATAAGTAAGTGCTGCTAGTTTAAAAACTGGGACATGACCCACCTTCCTTCCTTTTCCGCGTCGTGGCACACCCTGAAGTACCGATGTGTGCACGGCACATGGGAGCCACAGCAGCAAAACGGTCAGGACCAGGGACACTTTGCACGGACTGCTGACCGCCACCCCTACCTCTACCCCCATCTCCATGCCACGTCCCCAGCAGCTCCACACTCCAGAGGGCAGCACTGAGCCTAAAGCCAGCTAGCAACAGACTCGCAAAAACAGGTGAACCATTAACATCAAAACTAGGATTTAACAGGGACAAGACCTGTGCTGGGAAAACTGGCCACAAAGGTATCAGATCTTGTGGGGTTCAGACTCTTCTTACTTAAAAATTCACCACCTGAGCTTCATATCCCTCCGAAACGCTACCTTTGCCACTGGTTAACAGATACCTTCAGCTGCGACGCTTCACACATTGGGAAAAGAACTCCTAGTGGACAGCTGCTCATTTTCCAGTCTAGCATCTACCCCTTCCTCTGGAAATGGTCCCCTGAACTTAGGAATCACTTCATTTGTGGGAGGCTAACTCCACCCAACATGTGACCTGGTTTTGAACCCAAGTCAACCCTGGGCCACATCCCGTGGCTACAGCAACCGGTCCTGGCATGGGGCCTAGATCGAATCCCAAGCACCTCCTCGGAGTCTGCCCACTGCAGCATGTTGAGTCTCTGTGTTGTCCCCCACCCCGCAACCCCGTCTCTCTGCTTCCGTGTCTCTCTTTGTATGCCATCTCTGTGTATCTACGAGTTCCCCACCCATTTGTTGTCTGCACTACACCTCAATCACATCACCCACTATCTTTACTGTCTTTCATTGCCCTTTGCTGTCCAGGCCTCTCCCTGAAAATGAAGCATCAGCTGTCTGGGCCAACCCAGCTGCCCACCACTCACCAATGTTGGTCTCCTCAGCTGGGTGACCCTGCAACATGTTCCCAGGGTGTCCTCCACCCATGCTCCCTGTGTGCCCACCTTACAACAGCTCCCATTTCTGTCCTTTGCACTCAGCCATGTGGTTCAATGCACAGCCCGGCAGCTTCTTGTATGTGGTAGAAGATCAACAGATATTAAATCAATTAATGAAGACTGAGCAAACACTACAGGCAGCAACTTTTTAACATAAGATACTTGAGTGGCCTGTCTGTACAGTTATAGGATACATTCTAATTAAAGAGTGCCATTCAATATAACTTTGTAGGAACACGTTCACTACATAAAGGCAGGTAGGTATGAACAGCTGTTGACACTTTCCAGGGCACCGGTTAGTGAGAGACATTTTCCCGAGCCTTGCAACATGTTACCACAAAGTTCACAGCTATTCCACTCTGGGAAGAGGGCTTCCCACCCCTACTGCCACACAGCCAAGTGAGCAGGTTGCAGACCTGGCATCCACCTGTATGGAAGGACAGAACGAAGCCTCCCATACAATGCCCATTCCCAAGCCGGGCAATCAATAAGCAAGTCCAGTGGCCAGTCTGTCCCCAGTCTCTGTCCCCTCTGGGCTGGCATGGCAGCTACCATCAGTAGAGGCCCATTTTCTTTGGTGGCTTCCTAGGCATGTGGATAAACACCCCAGGCATGAAGGGGACCAATCCACATCTGAGTGTCACAGAAAACCTGATACCCAGAGGACCTGGTGTTCAGAGCAGAGTAGCTTTGCATCTGATTGGAGACAAAGCTGCATGAGCCAGCAAGTTCCTACAGCCTCCATTTTAACCAGCAGCTGTGTATCTGGACTGTCCCTCCACTTTGGGAAATGCAGAGTTCTCAAACAGAAAGGCCATGGTGCTTTTCCTCAAAAACCAAGTCTATTTACTTAAATACTAAAGCACCCCCACTGCACATGTGTACGGAGGGTTCCAGGCTCCACCCCACTTATAAGGGCACTTGCTGAATGGTTAACTGAACTCACACTTCCAAACTTAGTATGGTTAAAAAAATTAAACAGCCAAAAAAAAAAAAAAATGCAAGAGCCATTTCCTCTCTTCCCTGGACTCGATGAAGAGAAGAGATGGATACCGTGGCGTGAGGCCAGCAACCTCACCAGCAATGACAACATCCTTTGTTCAGATAACTCACAAATGCAGATGCTGGCCACTGAGGCAGGGGAGAAGGCACTGGTTTACCCTGGAATGATCACAGATGAACACGGATCTATAGACTGTTGTTAGGCAGCTTTCTTTCCTTCCTCTAAATTAATTTTTAAGGTCAAGGGCATCATTCCTGGTAGTTTCCAGTTATTCTTGTATTTCATCAATTCTATGACTTTTGCTCCCCAGTACAAATAAAAACTTGCTATAGGTCCTTGAAAAAAACAAGGCAGCTATGTGGCCCTGTGCAATGGAGAAGACAGGGAGGGCTGCTGGAACTGAAGGACTTCAGAGCTTGAGGGAATGACTAGTCCCTAGGACTGATGGTCTAGGTAATACTTTGCAAAGCATAGGACAGCAATGGAGAACATGTGTTATTTAAGCATAATTGTCTTTAAACAGAACGTTTTCTAAGTTTTCCATGAGACATCAGTGAGTCTTGAGGACCAATATTACGGTTATAATTGAGCCTCTTATCAGGACTGCAGCTGGAGCCAATGGATTGAAAACCACAAAATGCACAAATTATGTACCCCATTCAAGGAAAAAATGGTTAATATATGATATATATAAGTATATAATATATATTTAATATATGATAATATAAGTATAACCACAGTAAAAATGCTTATTTTTCATGCCAGTATTCATGTCAGAGGATAAAGAGGATCAAACTGACCCCACTGTTACCCTGTGTGTGCCCAAGAGTACAATAAAGAGTTGAGGTGATGCCCACACTAGAGGTCCAATTGCCTGAGCAACGGAGGCCAGGTGCGTTTGGCTTGGTTTCCCGGGTTTGACTAAACTATAAAACAGCCCAGTAACTCATATTTGCATC